ATTTGGCTCGCGGAGTCTCACGGTTCTTCCTGCGCTCGGTGACCTCGCTCAGGACCCCGTCGGAGAAGACGGGGCGCGCCCAGGGCGAGGAGGATTTGCTCCGTTGCCCTTTCCTGGAATAAACCGGGGGCACCCGAGCGGCGCGGGACGGCGCAGGAAGGTCTGCCCGCGTTCTGCGCCTGCGCGGGGTTCCCATGGCGACCGGGCAGCGAGTCGGAGACGCCACCCGCGCGCCCCGAAGTCCCGTTCCCTGTTGATTGTCTGAGCCGCCCCCTCTCCTGCTTCCCGGGACTTTTTCTTTGTTGTTTGTAGCGTGGAGTCAGTTATTGAGCTCATTTTGATCTTAGGAGTTGAGCATTAAAACAATGACGAAGTTGAACAGTAAGACACCCCCACGTCCTCCCGGTGCCCGCAGGACCATACTGATCACAGACGGAGGCAAACGCCGATTGGGGCGGTGACTGAGACGGCCCCCTCCCTCTTCCAGCCCGTGAAAGTGGAGACGAATAAAATGTATTTACTTCCTGGTCAGGCATTAAAAAAAAATCAGCCGCGCTTGATCTTGAGCCTGAAGGGGACAGACCCGTGCCCCTCCCGCCCTGCGGAGGGCAGGGCGCGGGCAGGGCGCGGGCAGGGCGCGGCACCTGCTTCTCGGGGCGGGCGTGTGAGAGCGAGATGCGCTCCAAAACCCACCGGAGCGACTGCCAGCCAGAGGAACAAAGGCTGTCTCAGGAGAGGTGATTGTTTCTCCAGTTGCTCTGGCGTTTGGATCACTTCTGGGGTTAATCTTATAAATTTTCCGCGGGGAATGTTTAAAAAGCCTTGAGCAAGCCACCCAGATTCCTCAAGACTTCTGTTTAAGAGAGTCATTTTTCTTTTCTGAAAACTGTGAGTCTTGACAGTTCCATCCCCTTTTAAAACTCCCATTTGTTTACACACAGGTTAGCATTTGGCAGGGGCACACGTCTTAAGGGATGTGTAGAAGGAGCTGTAGCTTCTCATTGCTCATTTTTCTTAGGCTGCATCGATATTTGGCAGCATGATTGATATACCTGGTTGCTTGTAGTAAATAAACATTGGTTAGAATGAATGTAAGATGGAGTTACCCTTCCTAGGATAAAGTGTGGCATAAAAATACCTTAGATGAAGTAATATTGCTGTATTCTACTTGTAAGTAATTTGCCTTCAAGTTTATTCGTGGTAGAAGCTTTCAGACACTATCCTTCCACCATCAGCAAATGAAGTAAACATAATATTACTTTTGAGATGATTAGTAAATAACATGTTAGTTATCTCTCCCATCCCATTCATTATAAATGCCCATACATTATGCAGTCTATCTAGATCAAATGCTTAAAGATGTGTCATTAAGTATTTTCCCCGTTCTCACAATTAAAAAAATAGAAAAACTCATTTTCAGGTTCAGATACTTTGTGACCCTATTTGGTGGCTCGTAACTGGCTCCAATTCCCTAATTCTCAGTGACATGTGTTTCTGCTGGTCCCAGGAGGTAAGCTGTAGTTTAGCAGATCATGGGGTAATGAGATTGGGAGTGCTGGGGGAGGCTGCTGAGAGTCAGTGGGAATGAGACAAAGGGAGTGAAGGTTGATGGGTAGAGCCAGGATTTATAGCCGCACCAGATTCTTCATAAAAGCTATTGAAGTCAGTGCTTCTGTTTGCTACATTTTCCCACATCATCAACAGCAGTTACATTTATTTTTAGAATCAGTCTTCTAAATAAGTATAAGGATAGAATTTTAGAAATAGAATATGATAAAGGTGCTTCATGTTAAGGTGCCATAATATACTGTGAAAACTCTCAATTAAATGTTTTCTATTTAATTTATTAATTTAGCCAACAATTTATTTATTGACAACTAATTATATATAAGGCAAGATAAATAAATCTTGGTTCCTGTCCTCAGTGAACTAAGAGCTGTGAGTTCTGAAATAATTCAAATGCTTTTTAGGTTTTCAGGGTAAAGACACTACCTATGGTCATCTTAAGAAGAACAGTTTACTTAGTGCTGAGCAATCAGACTTCTAGATTCAGAAACAAATGCTGAAACTTTAGTTAGAAAAAAATCCTGAACATTGTTTTTGGGGATTTTAGATAAGAGTCTATATATGTGGTGAAAGCATTGTGTGCACCTATCTTCTTACATTTCTGTAGTATAGACTTGGCCCTAAAACCTAGCTCTTGAGTTTGAGAGAAACAGAGAAACCCTGTAATTCTCGGGTTTCTTAGATGAAGATAAGGTGAGTGATTCAGTGGTCCTTTGTTCTGGCTCCCTGTTTCATGACATAATAAACCTCCTGCAGCTCCCTTCTAAGAATAGTGTTGGCCTGCATGCTTGAAGGATCATGACTATTATTTCTCTAAGCAAAAAAAATTAAAACAAACAAAAACCCCCCCCACAAAAACGGGGGGATATAAAATTATAGATGGATAAAAGGAATAGGGTACTTAAACATTTTAATTGTTGAGCTGGAATAATTTCTAGGCATTTTCAGTGAGTTTAGACTATAGAAATCCATTATAGCCATGACAAATCTGGCCTAATGTTGACCAAAGTTGATAAATGTTTCCTCTTGTCATTCATAGGACATAGACAGGGAGACTGTAGTCTCCCTTCCTTCACCGCCTCATGAGTCAACAGTGATCAGCTCAGAGAAGCTTGCTGAAGAGCATCCCCATTTGGTTATTGCTCTTTGTCTAGGAAAATCAGCCTCAGCTGTGAATTGTGGACCAAGTGGTGCAGAACTCATTAGTTTGAACAATGCCTCATCTGCCTGGGAAGCATGTTCTCTCTTCTTACTCGCAGGGGCTCATTCCAGGCTGGCTTTGCTCACAAGGAAAATCATTTAGACACAGTTGAGTGGACACTCACTCACATCTCTTTGACACCCGTGACCATTTTTGTTTAAGGAGAAATCCAGTACTGCTGTGGTAGGGTGTGCCAAATTAGAAGTGCATTTTAAGAACCCTGTGAAGAAGTTTACACAGCTTTATGTTGTTATCATCAAGGTCTCTGTCTTCTGTGCTTCAAAGTAAGAGGGCAGGATGGATGCAGAAGGGACAACTGAGAAAACTTTTATAGCAAAGTTAAAAACATCCTCACCAATTCTGCATTTTAGATGCCTTAAACCTCTTCATTGTCATAAAATTACAGAACAGAAAAAAGATACAAAGTAGATACCATGCTTGTTATATAAATCAGGAAACCAGGATCCAAGGTTGCTAAATGATTTTCTCAAAGTCACAGAGCTAATAAATGGCAGAACTGGGATGAAAATGCAGAGGTTTTGATTTCTGATGATCCCAGGAAGTCTGGGGTGGGCAGAAATGAAATCCTTGCTCTAGATTTGGTATTTGCAACCATATAAAATTGATGTAGTTGTAGATATAAAATGGTCCAACATCAGCAATGTTATATGATTTAATCTAGTTTCATTGAGTGGAATTGGCAGTGGACCCCTTTTGATTATATATTTTGTTGTAAGCGTGTATATATCATGAGAATGTATATGTTGCACATGCATAAATGTAAAAAGTCTTTTTCAGTATCTATTTTGGTCTGAGGAATTCTGGCATTGCTAGGATCTAATACAAGGGGAAGCAGTTTTTCTGGTTATTTATTGTTCAGCAAATATTTATGCAAGGGGTTCTGGAAGAAAAGGAGGAAATGAACATTAATGTATTCCAACCATGTGTCTGGGCATCTACTTTATATCACTTTAAAACTCATAACAATCAAAAGATGCAGAAATTATTATCCCATGTTACTGATGAGACTCAGAGAGGTTAGTTTCTTGCCCAAGATCCAACTGAGTATGAAACAGACTTGCAATTTGAACCCAGGTCTGGCTGCCTCTATGCTCTATCACATCATGTTGCTGCTCAGAAAAGCAAGACTATGTTTATGAAAAATATTGAGTGATTTTCTTTTCAAATTCACTATTCCATGCAAAGTACAGACAGGTAGCACTGTTTCTGACCAGCTTTTTGGTGAGTAGAGAAGCTGCATTTCCTATTTGGAGGTTAGGAGGTTATAAATTCAGGCCTGGTTCCAAAAAAACATTCAAGACTTTGTTTATAAACTATGCTGGCTATTTGTTTAGAAGTGAGTGGTGTTTAGGTTCTCCTCTGCAAATGCTTCTCCACATCAAAGTAGCCCACTTTTCACTTCTAAATTGTCAACTTGCTGTGGGTCTGAGAGAACCCCTCATGATTTTAATGTGTTTCCTGGCATCCCAAGACTTAAGTATTGGTTTTCTCTTATATAAATTTTACTCACTTATTTTTCTTGGAATAGTATTGAGAGACTTGGTGCCGGATAGAACCAGATGGTGTCTTCCTGTAATGTTTTTCAAATTGGAGACCAGGATCACCTTGGACAGTTGCTGAAAATTTC